AAATGTTTGTCTTTTTTTACAGCTTTATGTTGCATGTACCCAAAATGTTTGTTTAACAGATTTGCCTTGATTAAATACAGCTAGAAAGCATTCTTTCTTTGCCCTGAACAGATAAGTCTTCCTACTCACTTCTGGAAGAGGAGCTGTCTTTGCACAGTTGATCCCGCCTATCAAAATCATGTTTGGCATGAGAGGTTTGGGCCAGTCAAAAACAAAGTCATATCTGAGAAGCCAGATGGCCCCATGGCTTATGAGTTCTTTGTAAGACATGCCGTCTTTGATGCGCTTGCTGACCAGTTCATCAAAGTGGCGATACATGACTGTGCATATGTGAGACTCCAAAAAGGACATCATCATGTTTTTAACCCTCTCTGGGAAGGTCATACGGTCTGTGTTACCAGAGAAAGCCTTGGGGACGTAGGAAACAGGAGAGGGGCACTTGTTAGCTTTAATGTCCAGCTCACAGGGAAGACCGCGCAGAAAATACACTGCAGGAATTGAAAAAATATGTGCCAGAACAGAGCCACAGGGAAGGAAAGGATCTGTAAGCAAGATGTCAAAACCTTCTTTCCTGAGTTGATTCATCAAAGGCTCATTGTCCAATAAAGCTTCACAGCCCAACGACTGAAGAGAGGTAAAAGTCACCAGACGCTCCACATTAACAAATAAATCTGCAAGTCCTGGTTTTTGGTCGAATAATCCTTCCCGGAGCTTGTTAAAGTTCTCATCCAGTTCTTCTTTGGTATAAGGCACTTTGTAGACCTCAGTCTTGTAGCTTTCAGAACCTTGGATCAACAGGCTGCTTTCAGGCACCAGGACCGTGACATCATGGCCTCTGCGGCCGAGCTCCTTTACAAGTATCTTCATACTAAGCCAGTGGCTTCCATCCACGGGCATAACCAACACCTTCCCCCCCTGAACGGGCCCCAGACCAAGGCAGCATAGCAGAGCCAGTAGCCCCGCTGGAGGAAACCACACCCTGCTTCTCATTGCCTCCTCTCTGCGCTGCAAGCTGAGCTTTGTGTGAGATTTAGAGCTGCCTGTTCTAAAGGGGTGGCGTTCTGTGTGTGTGCCTGTGTTGAAATTCTGGAAGAAGTGCGGGTTGCATTTTAAGTCAAGCCTTTATATAACCTCAGGAGGACAGGGAAGATTCCCAGAGCTTTGTAGGGGAAGTGTCAGCACTGAGTGTGTCTTCAGTTAATCATTGTTTTGTATAACTTCACCGTTCCCTTTAAGGAGTTGTAATATTCCTTTGAAACTCATTCAGGAATTTTATTTCATTTATTTTTTTGTTGCATGACCGTTTTCTGCATTCTAAAAGTTTTTAAACTATAGTGTTTTAGAACTTGCAAGTCATCATTTGACTGCATGTTCTGCTTGTAGATTTGAGCAAAGTCCTCTCTGTTTACTTTATCTGTTCCCTCCCCCTGGAAAGCACGCAGACTCGTGCCTGGTATGCATTTGTAGTTGTAATACCTGTTTTTTGTGTCACGCACATAGATGCATACACTGCCGTTGTAGTGAGAGCGATGGCGTGCGAAGCCACTGGTAATAGGAAACCAACTCCCCTCTGAAAAGAGGAAGTGGATACTATCAAACCATCAATTCCTGGTATTATAGCACTGGTCACAACTTGCCTTACCTCCATAAGTCTAATATTGAAAGAGAGAAGAACAAATCTTGGAGTACTCATTATTCTATTATTTTAGATTGTGGGGCACCAGCAGATTTATCTAAAACAATCAAAGCTAATTATTAAAAATGGTTCAAGCTTGAACTCTGCAACCTAGAGTTCCTTCCCATTCTGCCCTTCCCCCTCTATCCAACTATTGTTGACTGTCTTAAAGGGAAAGCTTGTATTTTTTTGCTTCCCTTTACTTTTTGTTTTGGGTGGGGGTGGGGGGGTCTAGTTAAAAGGTATGAGTAGCTACTTAAAATACCTTACTTTCCAAAAAAAATCCCAATTTTTCATGAACAAATTTACTTTCCCTAAAAACTAAACTAAGAGAAAGGCAGAGTGGGTGCAGTTCTGAAGGAGACTCCCACCATCTGATAAAGATGTCAAAGAAGTTTTAGTAGTCCGTACAAAAACAACTTTAGAAAGGTAAAACTGAACTGCAATCAGATTTATATAAATACATGATTATTTATAATTATGACGGATACTTTATTTTAATTCTGTTAACTTTCTGGTTTGTAACTTTACTCACCTGAACCCATAAAGTTTCCATGGAACGTGGTAAAAATCGCATGGAAAGAGAAGATGATGCAATGTGTGGGTGGAAATGTCTTCTTTGCATTTTGAGATGATACAGTCTGAAACGTTTTAGTTGAAACAGAAGTAAATTGCGTTGTTATTTTATTCAAATATTCTTTTCATATGATTTCAGAGTATAAAGTCATGTAAAGTGAAATCAGGTGGCAGCATCAGAAAAGCTTTTGGGTGATGGGTCTAGATAAGTAGTTTTAAACCATTCATTAATATACAAATAGTGTGCCACATTCATATAAAGCACATACTCCCTCCCTTCAGCACATTGTATTTTGTGATAGCTAAGGATTCGATAAACTGTAATTCATATAATTTCATTTGAATGAGACAGTGATTGAGGCCAGAATATTGCATTACCGGCTCCACCCGGTTTACAGACATTAAGTCTAAGAGCATTTCGATTTAATCAGCAGAAGAATGACAGAGCAAACACACCTCACTGCATGCAGCCTTTTTAATCAATCATTTCTTAACAAAGTAAAAACTGTTAGAAAGAAGCCCCTCTGCTCTACATAGGAAACCCTTTGAAACATTGTCTCATTTCAGTTGCCTTCTTTTGTTAATTCTTCAAAAGATCTGTCAATTGTAAACAGTGAGTGGTTTAAAGTATGAATGTGTGCTTTCAGCCCCACTGACCTCTGAACATAGATAGCAAGGTGCAAATAGGTGTGCACCGGATTTTAGCAGCTTTAACCCACTCACTTGAAAAATCTAAAAGTATTACTGGACTTAACGTAGCTTGTTAATATCCAAGAGTTAAATATTAAGTACAAAAATCTCCAAATTATATTGATATTGCACAAAAATTAAAATGATCACTGCGGTAGCAACCTCTGCGGCAAGAAGTGATAACATTTCAGTCGTACTGTATGCACTGGATCTTCCTTATTTTGCATTTTATTACTAACTACACTAAACCTATTATGAGATTTAGAAAGCAGTCAAAGGAGAAATTCAGACTTCCTAAACCTGATATAAACTTTAATGTCCCTAACTTTTGTCATAAGCTGTTTAGACATCTTGGACCCCAACATGTTAATGATGGAAGTTACATTCCACTGTGAATTGTTAACCCACTAAATGTGAAGTGCCTCTAATTGAGTAAAGTATTTTGTAGTTTAGAATATTAGATTGTTCCTGCAGATGCACTCAACAAATCACAATTATTCAAATGTCTATTAATTTCTTTATATCAGTTCGGAGAATGAAACTAATATATTTCTTGAATTCATTACCCATGAATCATATGTCCTAATTTTTGTTCATTTAAATTACCCGTTTACCATATTTGTAATGATTTTGGTGTTGATGGCTGACTTGATTGCTCATTTCATTCACCTGTATAGCTCTGTCCTGTTTTCTCATCACTGTTCTTCTGATCAACCTGCTCCTGCTTCTAATTAAACTCCTTGGTCCCAGCTATCAGTGCCAGATTATTCTTGAGCCTTTGGTGTTGAGAGTTCTCTAGCGTTTCTCTAGTGTTCTGATTGTCTGATCCTGACCCATTTCTGTATCTGGACCTTTGAGCCTGCCTCCAGCTGTCTGATCTGTTTGCCTGGCCTGTCTTCGGACTCCTGTCGGATTCTTCTGTGGACTGAACCTGGATCTGCCTCTTGATTTCGCCCTGTGGATTATCCTCCCTTCTTTCGTCAGTTTGGATCTGATCTGCTGTCAGCTCTGCAGCCTTCTAGGCTTCCGTGTCTGGAACACTCTGGCAGCGTCCGCTGCGTCATTTCAACCGACTGGCTGGAATCATCCTCCATCAGATTATTGTGGTCACTAACCTGTGTTTCTCTTTTATACACGTTACTGTTATAGACGCCCTAGCCGCTGATACCATGGATCCATACCCCGTTTGTTAAATAAACGTTTTAAGGTATTTCACATTCTGTCTTGCCTGAATTCTGGGTCCTCTGTTCCGAAACTTTACAATATTTTTAATAAAATGTGATAATTTAAGAACTGCTATGACTATATTATGACTCACACATTGGAAGACTGCTGTTTCATGTTGTTGCACAAACTTTTCAGTGTTATTCTAATGAATCAGTAGCACCAGTATTATTTCAAAATTCAAAGGCTCTTGGAAGTTCCCTACTAATCTTGGTTTCTCAAATCAGAAGTTTAGTTCCTTTATTGTTTAACAATCATGCTTTTTTTGCCCGCTAATTGTACCTATACCCCTTCAAATTAAATATAACATGTTTGAATGTTTTTTTAATAGTATGAGTTGTTTATTTGGATATTACGTGAAAAAATTTCACCGCCATTGTTAAAGTTCAAGTGGCAAGTACTTTTTTTCCTAGCTTTTATTGTTATTACACTGTCACAAGTACAGAGCAACGAAATTATCTCTTTTTATTTTACCCATCCTCTTGGGGAGCAGTGGGCTGCCATTGTGCGCAGCCCGGGGAGCAGTGTGGGGTTAAGGGTCTTTGCTCAGGGACCCAGAGTCGCTGACTGTGGGAACTTCAACTCAGACCCTCTGGATTCCAAGTGCAATGCCCTAACCACTAGGCCACCACTCCCCATAGATTTACCTCTGCATTTAACCCATCTCCTTGGGGAGCAGTGGGCTGGCCCTGTGCGACACCCGGGAAGCAGTGTGGGGTTAAGGGTTTTCCTCAGGAACCCAGAGTACAGGCTTTGGGGCTCAAACTAGGTACTTGCAACCTTCTCAGAGCACAATCGCACTGCTGTAACACTAGGCCAACACTCCCCCAAGAGCACCCTACCTCTCAGTAGGGCATCAAACTTTAGGATAAGTCTTGTTGTTCCCCTGCATGGAAATCTTTAGGAAAAGGGGAAAGATTTGTACGATCTGAAGAGAAACAAGAGTGCCTCACAAGACTACTACTTCCATCATATTAGACTGTGTCCCATTATTGCAAGGTCCCAAGGTCCCATTATCTCTCTATGTCCAGCATAACACTGATGTTTTTGAGAACTGTGGTTACATTTTCACCTGAAGATAGTGCTTCTGTTTAACATGCAAAATCTGTAATACAACCTGAATTAAATCCAGCCCAAAGATAAGTTGTAGCAAAGCTTAAATCAAATTTGAGATGAAAATATTTCTTTACAAGATTTATTTGGAGATGAAGATCTAGTTCTAGTTACCATCAGAGGAGAAATTGTTGAAAACTTGATATGAATTAAAAAAGTCTGAGGCTTTTTTTTTTTTTTAGGTCAGATTAAAGAAAGTAAGGAGAACGTATAAAGAGAACCAAAGTGCTATGCATACAAATGCTCAAAGCTGAAATCAGTAGGTTGTGTCATTTATCCATATGATGGCACCAAATACCAACAAAGCAGAAATTATCTTCTGAAATATTTAAAGCTTTTCTCTTTTTTGGTTTAGATCCCGAATGCTGATCAGTATGTAATAATTTTAGAGAATATACAGCATATCAAATAAAGTCTGACTATTAAGTTTGCTGATGATTGGTGATTTTGTTCGTGATTCAATCACAGATCCGTCATTCAAACCACTTGAACGTTTTGTTTGCATGACTGGTTGGTTCTAATCAGTGTGTCAATAATTTATTTTCATCTGAAGCAGCCTAATCCATCATACAAACCAATTTTCAAAGGTTAGATTACACTGATGGCTCAGGTCTAGCTCATAAGAAAGGACGAGAGTCAGCTTGTCTGACATTATTCACTCATACATACTTATTAATAGGCCTACCTCATATCACCTGTACACCAAATACATGATTAGCTTCTGTAGTTCAAAGACTTGGGCACTTAAGTTATATTGAGAGTGATAAGACAAAAAGTGTCAAAAGTTAATTCTGTGAACTTTAGACCTTTCTTAACTCTGGTACATTACTTGTCAGACTGAAGCTTGGTCAGTGTTATAATTTGTCATTTTTATTGAGTTGTTATTGAACTGGTTTTATCAATGTTCTACAATAGATATAGAGATACAACATTTAATACTATATAGAGTATTGAATAAATGCATGACTTTGCTCTTCCTAGGTTTTTTACTTTACTGTGCACTTTTCCATGTTAATGTACTCAATTAGCTTATAATTTTTTTTTTTAAACTGCTCCAGTTATTTAACAATTAAGGACTATGTCAATCGAATAAAGGGTTTTAAATAAAACATGAGATCAATGTCACTTCTTTTCCCTCTTCATTTATTCCGATCAGGATATTTAGAAATATAAGCTTTTTGCAATAAGATTTTTTTTTTCCTTGTAGAGTATATAAATGTAAATTCAGCATACTTTGAATGATCATGGGTTATATATCGAACACTATGAAAGGAGGGGTGATCATAAAACAGCTAACAGTGCTCCACTAAGTAACCCTTTATTAGAGAATGGCAAAAGAAATGCTTTGAAAGCAATAAGAGGTTCCGTTTGCAATTTCCCATAAGCCATGTTGGGGACACAGCAGACATGTGTGTCAAATTTGAGTCATGTAAAATTTTCTGGGTTAACTAGTAAAATTCTTAGTTTCAGAAAAGAATGAAAATTAAGCTAAACTACCAGTTCCTGGTGGTGGTAGTAGCATGCTATGGGGAGGCTGTGATGGAGAATCCAGAAAGTATCCCTTTTCCTTTTTTCATCATTATTGTATTTCTTGCACCTAACAGACACTTTACAGATAACTGGACACAGTTTACCTATTTTGCAAATAACTGGCAAAAAGTACCATTATAATGGAGTAATGTGAAAATACAAACCGAGTCACATTTCAAAATCTTACTATGAAAAACATAAATAAGAACATGTAAAATTGTCTTCCACTTTTAATTGTTTCAGTATCTGTCCTATATGTTTCCCTAAAAAACATTAAAATCAGGACTCGTAAATAAAAAAAGGAAAATAGGCTCAACCATAATGAATAATTTTGCATGACACTGTGGGCATAAATCACATTCAGCAAGACTTCCTCCATAAAGGCTAGAAGACATCAGACTGCGTGTAATTATTCTATTAATGTCTTCCACTCAATTAAGTTAGTGAAAAAAATGCTTTATTCTAATTAATTTATTTTGACTTTAAAGTGTACATTTTTGTGTCATTGCAACCGCATGGTGGAGCCAAAGTCCCAAAAATCATCTCAGTCCGCCAGTCTTGGTAACTCTGAAAGACTGTTTGCCATCGCTTCTAGTATGAGTTCAACCGCAGTTTCAGACGTTTTCCAAACGATAAACTTTTACTAATACACTCTGATTTTAGAGAGATTCCGAAGTACGATTTGAGAAAAAAACATTTGCAAACAGAAAACTAATATTTCACACGCAATAACCGAATAGGTTTTGTTTCATATCAAAGCACCTTCAATAATATTCCATAATGACCGCTTCTGTCTGCCTTGAAATTTCCCATTCTCCATGTTCTTAAAACTGGAACTCATTCACTTAAATTACCTCCTGTACATATAAAGGGTTAAAAAAATTATTTAAAAAAGGGAACAGATAACTCTGTGACATCAAGCCTCTTACTTCTGCCTTAAATGAGGAGAGAGGGAGCCTCTCAGAGGAAGATCTTCAGGTCTCGCAGCAGATGCGCGCCGTCCTTGGATGCTCCAGACGCGCAGCGGAGGATTTTGCGCACTGGAATCAAGCAGAGCTGAAGAAACGGTCTGCCTGACTGACCGCAGTCTCACAGGCACTTGGACTCATTTGGTAGCATTTTAACTCCGCTCAGAGACAACTTCCTGCTCATATCGCTCCGGATTTAACAGAATAAAACTGTTCGGCTGGATTTGAAACTTAGAAAACTAAGTCGCTGCTTGAAGAGGAAATTCCCACATCCTGAGAGACGGGGACGTTTAAAGAGGATTGTAGAACTCTTTGCTGGATTGGACAGGATTTACTCCAGCTTGAGGTATCTATAAGGGAAAGTTATTTTTCTTCGTAACTGTACCAATAGAGCGTCTATCACTTGATATATATATATATATATATATATATATATATATATATATATATATATATATATATATATATATATATATATATATATATATATATATATATATATATATATATATATAATTTTTATAATTTTTTTCTGTGTGTGTGTGTGAATCTCCCTCTTATGCTCGCAGGTGATGTTTCAGCGGCATGCGTGTCTTCTCCTCTCCAAGTCTTCCAGAGAGGTTTAAACCGCCGCTTATCTTGAATAAACCGAGAAGTCGCTGAAGATGGGAGCCCTGCAAACATTCTTGCTGTTTTTCCTATTGCACCAGGTGAGTAATGGGTTGACTCTATATTGACTGGTTATTTCTATTCTAATGTCTCTCAGCAAATTGCACTTTAAAACTTGTTCTATCCATCTATCTTTATGCAGAAATTCAAACTGCATCATTTACCTTTTTTTTTCTTTAATGACACATAAATTCATGCCATATTTGAGTTTTATAAACTGTAGTGATTTTTTATCTGGACTGAAGTTGCTTAGTGCAGAAGTGTCCTAAAAAGTCGTTTATGGTGAATCTATATAGATGATCTACTGCAGCATTTGGAGAAAATGTAAATTAAACAATAGCAAAACAGTAAAAATTCAGTAGCATCTTTACAGACAGAACCTATGGCTTTGTTGTGATCTTCGGCTCTTGCTCAAAAAAATCTAATGCTTTGAATTTCATAAAATTTTTTGAGCTTCTCTGCAAAAAACATATTATTACCACATATAATTAAAGGTACCTTCTATATTACAGCTATGTTTTAATTTAATTTAGCTCAACTTAATCTAGAATAAACTTTTATTTAAATAATAATTGAATCCTGCCGTGATAACGCCTTGCTGTCTCTTAGAAAATGATTTCAAATATTTCTTTTTGCCTCATTTTCAATTTTCAGTATTTTATTTTAACAAAGACGGTTTTAAGGTTCTGTTTTTGTGACCCATTTAAAAGACATTCTTCTTGTAGTCAAAATATATATATTTTTTTGTCCTAAGTCTGGGGAAAGTTGGATCACTGATTTAAATCTGGATAAACATCGGATAAATATTTTTGTTGTCAGTTTTTAACAAAATATGATAGTCTTCTAAAATTGACACATTAAAATAAGAGATTAAAGTTGGGGGGAAAAGGGCGATGGATTTTTTAAAGCTTTAGTCGCTTCTTCTTTGTAAATCACATAATACTTAGAGAGCAAGGAAAAGAATTTTGGCTTAAGTAGAAATTCAACGCGTTGAGCTTTTTTGATATAATCTTCCTCTAGTGTAATTTTGTTTTCATTGCAGTAATCTCTGTATAGAAAGATTGGGATCTCTTGGGAAATTCAAAGGGTTTTCTCTTCTTTGATGAACATCTGCTGTGTCCACTCTCTATTTTTTAATATATTGTGGGTTTTTTTCTTTTTTGGTTTTATCCTTATTATCCGCCTTCCATGAATAGAATTGAATGGTAAATGCCATCGGATTGAAGAAGTTCTTCACATCTGTGCTCAATCCTCTAAGAAGGCTTCTTTTAAAGATAGCCTTGAACTGTGCTGCAGCTGCAGCAGAAAGCTGTCTCTTCTGTTGTAATCAGCACTGAGCCTGTTGGGAGCTCTGCCTCCAGAGAGAAAGAGGCAGGCCACCTCCCCGGGGAGGCTCTCTTTATATGCCCCGGTGGCTTCCCTCCCAGCACACCCACAAACGTCTGACCTGGGACATTTTAGACTTTATCAATATTACTTCCACTTTGTAGGCTTAAGAAAGGCTTAGTTCCACTCAAAACATAAAATAAATACACAAGAACCGTCTAAACATCATATACATTAATGAATTCAAATGAAAAAGAAAAAAAAACATACGGAAATCCAACAGGATGCAAAAATGTTATATTTTAAAATATTTGAAATCTATTTATTTGCGGTCGGAAAACCATGAATATATCCACCTCCTCCCACTCAGTTAATGCGCACCTTAAGTGGTGAAAAAATAAACCCCAGTCTCAGCATCTGTGCCAAACCCCAGGGACAAATAAGAGGGTCAAAGCCATCCTGGGAGAATTGGTTCTACCCTGTGACATCTGCGGCAGTTATCCCCAGCTTAATGACAACAGGACAATGTAGATGAACAGGAGACATATTAAAGCTTCTTCGCTGTCATCCTTCTTCCTGTCTTGGATAACATTATTCCCAGAGTTTCACACAGTGAAATATAGTTTTTTAAAACTCAGATTAGGATTAGTTATAGGGAGACACTGACAAAGAATGTAGCGATTGGGGATGTTATAGCAAGTCTCTGTGTTGTTTTTTTATTTTGGAAGAAAGCCTTAACAAGACACTTGGTAAAGGGCTCGTTCACCTTCTGTGCCTCCTAGCACATACAGTGCTATCATTATGGGGACTTATATATGTATGTATATTTAAAGTATGTTTAAAAAGTAAATAAACACCTGGATTAAATCAGAGAGGGAGACTGTATATATTTCATTTTCATAATTCTGACATGCCTGCGGTCTTTCCATCAAACTTTGATGTGCAGTGATTTAAGGGATTACAAGTGATTTCCAAAAGCTTTTGGCAGTAGTTGTGTACTTATTTATCAAAGTGCAGTGATTGCAGCAGAAGCCAGCTCAAGAAGTGGCCCTTGGGAGGCCCGTTCTTACTCATCCTTTTACCATTTTGGTTTTCATGCCCATCTCAATTTATAGTTATAGTATTGGGGGGAAAAAGAAGCAGGAAATAAACAACCCAGACATCATCTTATTTTTTGTTCTCACAAAAAGAACAAAGGTTTAATGGATTTTGAATCTCTAGCTCATGTGAAATCTAAATGAATGTGAGTGAATTCCTTTTTATATAATTGTAAATAAATTGTGGCAGTAAGAGGTTAAAGTATTCCTGATTGGTCTAGAATTATCCAATCTGGGTTTAAGCTGTGTAATTTAGACTTTGTACAAAGAGTGGCTGGTTTTATTTATTCCTAAAATGATTAAATAAATAAAAGATATAAAAGGTAAAATTGCCCTTTAAGTTTGTGCAAAGACAAAATCCAGGTCCGCTTCATTGTTTGTAATGTTTATGCTGCTCCTTGACAGGGGGATGCCCTGGGCAGTGAGCCATGTCAAAAAAGCTGCATGATGAGTTATCTCTCTGCAGAGGATGAAAAAAGTAGGAATGTGAACCTAAGTAGTATTTGTCACTAGTTTCTTAAAAAAAAAAAAGACAGTTTTTCATCCTCAGTTTCTCTGCAGCGGCAGAGTGAGCGGCGCTCCTTTCAAAGTCAGTAACGGCTCCGGCAAGGACAACACTTTTATCCCTGTCTTCGTAACAAAACACAGATTCTACACAAATTCCCTCTCTAAGGACCTTTTAACCCTCTTTCCCTTACCCATGCTCAATTAGGTTTGGTTTTATTATTTATTTACTGTATGTTTAAAGGCAACTTAACACTGGGAAGTGTAATAAAATGTACAGTTGGGGGGATTAGGAGCAGCTCTTTAATCTCACGCTCCTGATAATGCTGCTCGGGCTGATTGATTAGTTTTTCAGGAAGCTTATGTCAGAAAAACCTAATCCGTCTTTGGATTGTGCCAGCCTTGTAAGGTTTTCCGCGCTGCCACTTTATCATGGTGGCGAATTACAGAGCTGCTGGGCTGTGATAAGGTCCTCGTCTCTTTTACAGACCCCACCGCCCAACCCTTTTGCACACTTGCACAACCCGCCCCCCCTCCCTCTGGACAATAAAAAAATGTGTTTATATTCTTCACATCCCTGCTCTGCCTGGTCTTCACATCAACCTCTCCCAGGATTTGCCTTGTAAGAAAGAGACCAGGGAGGGGGGAAAAAATAAAAAGAGAAGAACTTAAGTCTTCAAAAATCCACCAGAGAAATTGGGTGGAGAGGGAGAAAAATGTGAGAGAAAATGGGCAAAGCAAGGCCAGAGAAAATTTCTGTGGAAGTGATTAAAACATGGATTTGACAGAGTGAAGAGGGCATGTATGCATGTGCTGCCTTCCAGGAATCCTTTAGGAGCTTACATGGTGCTGATGTGTATCTCTGCACATATTGGGGTCACAATCTTTCCAGCCATAAGGCTTGACTTGATAATCCCTCATAAACAATACCCGTCTGTGACATTTGCCATCCACGGTCCGCATGTTGCTCATCACCCCTCTGAAGGAAAAGGTTGTCGTTTTTTGAGGCTTAAATCCCTCAAATGCAGCCTGCAGCCACAACAGGTTGTGCTTTTACTGTATGGATCCCTGCAAGCTGTTCCTCTCTCGATCCTCATTTACAACCAACGCGGCAATGCATCCTCGCTAAAGGTCCCTGAGTGAAAAGACAGAAGCTCCCAATGATTGATTGCTGGCACACAATTGCCCTTTGCACTGACAAAAACGCTAATCTGGAAAGTGGAAAGCCCATTAAAGACATAAGCCAAACAGTTATTAACGTTACGATTATTTTGACGATTGCTGCTCTTTTGATGTAAGCAGACTAATGGAGTTTTGCATTAGGCGTGGGGAATTATTGTGTCATTTATCATTATCGTAAAAATAATCTATATTTTGCTGAAGAGTTATTCTTTCTAATCTCTAACTAGAGACTTTTGCAAACTGCGATGGAATTAAATTATTTTCCAGAGTAACAGTTCAGTTTAATACAACAGTCATGGTTTTCTGGTTACTTTTATATTTAGACTAGTGTTTTTTAAGTCATTAAGCTCTAGCTAAATAACATGGTCACAAATTTTAAAATAATTTATTAATAATAAAAGGAAAATAAATGCTCTGCATCATTGAGTCCACATTACCCCTGTTTAGAATAAACTGAAATGCAGAGCTGTTTTTTTCAGTCATCTTTCTGATCGGATTTGGTGTTTTTGATGGAGGAAACATAATGTTAAATGTGTTGTTGAGATTTGTGGTCTTGGTCCATAGCTATGAATTTTTATAGCTGTTTTTCAGCCCTGGGCGCCTTAGAGCGGGAGCCTCTGCTACCTTATAGCTCTGTCATTACTGCTCTGCAATATCTAAAACGGGCAGCATTTTCTGATGTAGAACTATTACTGTTTAACAGACTGTTGACTGCGTTGCTCTTCTTTCTGAGCTGGGCTGTGACAACTAAAACCACGCACTTATGCTTTATACCTTTATTTTTTGTGATGAACCAGAACAAAGTTGTGTTTAATTGTAAGGTTGAAGAAAAAATGTACATGCATAACATTTTAACTTTCACAAAAAAACATGATATGCATTTGAATAGATGCTGCTTTTTTCTGTCTTTTGCAGCCACCTTCATTCAGAAG